GAGGAATTATGCAACTGAGATATACAGGTTCCAGCTCTTAGGGGACATGGAGACTGCTAAGACAGGCTCTTACCTAACATTCAGTTTCTGCTTGACTTTAATAAGAGAGATGCAAACCCACAACCCCACCTTACAAGGGGACACCTAATCATCAAGCCTGTGGCATCCTTAGGCTACAGTGCTGTGCTGTGAACCCCAGAGACTGGGACAGAGGGCAAGGAAGGCTGACATGCAATGCACAACTCCTATAAATATGGCAGCTGTACAAGGATCTGACCATCCAGGCTTACTGTGCTCTGCCAGTGCTTCATTGCTCTGCTTCTACTTCATACTCAACACATCGCTGACCAGCCATAGTGTTGATTTTTTTTTTTCAACAAAGCCCTGTGCAATTAATAAAAGGGCAAACTTTAGGTCAGAGAAAATGTCTCAAAGACTCCACCTTTATCTATTTTTGCTCTGCCAACACAGGCAATTATAACCAGCTCTGCATTCCCAGTGCACCTAGGTTACCGGTGCTGTCGTCCTTTCTCCAGACTCCAATCTCTGTGTAAGTAGAGCTTCCAGATGTGACTTTACACTCAGGCTTCCAGTTCCAGCAGACCTGGCAGGTCTGAATCTAGCTTTTACCATATGCATCTCATCAGCAGTGGGATTCCTCAGTCCCTGTGTGATCACAGCTTCCAGGTGTGAGTGCCACTGAATAACTTGGAAAAAGTAGAGATTCATGCAACCACACCATTACTTCCCTCAGCTTACTAAAACAGTGACCACATACTTACAAGACATCATGCATTCTCTATTCCCATGCATGGAATCCTTATAGGAGATAACTGTGGAGTCTGTCCAGCCGCAGTTACTTCCCTCCGGGGTAATGCAGCACTATTTGGCCTCTCAGGAGGCCAAAACATCCTACCTGAAAACAGCTTCAGCAGTTGAAGTAACCCACACTGAAAGGAGATTTTGCACAACAGTCACAAAAGAGCCACCTTGGCAGACTTCTTTTTTAAATTCTTCTCCTGGTGGCAGACACATCAAACCCCACTCTACTCTGCAGAGGCACAAGAGCTCTCCCTCCAGCATGACACAGGAGATGTGCTGCTGTTTCTTACCACTGCTGCTGTGTACATCTAAGTCTCTTTTTCAGACCAAAAAAACTAATGTTAAGTTTCTAAGAGAATTTAATCCATGGGATTTGTGGCTTTTTTCAGCAGAAAGTACTTAGCTCTGGTAACAACACAGCAGTACCTAAATTGTAAAAGGTTAACAAAATTCATTAGACTTGTAGATTGCTGGAAACAGATTTAACAACAGGCACCAACAGGGTGTTTTGATTGCTAAGAACACATCAGTTGGTGTATAATTTGCTACAGTCTCAAGTACCAAAATCTGCACCTGAAGCTCACCTGCTCTGGTCATGCCTGCCCTGTCTGTTCAACACTGGCACCGTCTGATCAAGAGCCAGGAAACTCCTGTATAGAAAGGGGCTTCAGAAAGAGCTGTGAAATGTAAAGCTGCATGCAATCTCAAACATGTTACATGATGCTCACATGTAACAAAAAGAGACAGCCACCTTTTTTCAACTTTTGCATTTTGATCCTGTTGTATGACTACTTGAGCTTTGATTTGATATTCCAATAAAGAAATAAGACTTTCCATTTTGTAAGTTTAATACACACCTCTCACATACCATTTTCTTTTTTCCTTGAGCAAAAAATGGCAGCTTAAAAGACAAGTTCCATGTGCTGGGAGGCTACAGAAAAATCACATTTTGTACTGAAGGTCCCTCTGACTAAACTGCATGGGGAGCAGAATTAAATCTCACTCCTGCCTCACAGCTCCAATCTTGCTATCTTGCCATCAGCCTGCAGGAACCAAGCTACAATTAATACATATGTGGTAAGACAGCTTACTTGGGTTCACATATCCCTGAAGAGTAGCTTTTGAAGATGTGAAAGCTAAATTCCTTTTGAAAACCTGTCCTGTTTGTAAGTTCTGCAGGGCAAAATGTGCTCAGTCTTCTCATCTCTACCTCAGCAGATGTGCTACTCTTAGAAGCCAAGAGAGCTCTGCAGAAGTAAAATAGTCACTGAAAGGGCAGAATACAACCAACATTTGCATGTGATCTAGAACAGAGCAAGAATGCAACTACATGAAGTTTTCATAGCAGCAAAGACTGGCTGCAGAAGGCTGGGAATAGACTTAATGATAGAACAAGGCTAGAAAAACAGGACTATGTCCAAGAGAACCTGGGTAAGTTAGCTACTAAACTCCCCCTACAGAAATTTTCATACAAAAAATTCAACCCAGGAATTCCAGTATATATGCTGGAACTCCCCTGAAGAAATTCAATTTTATGTCTCACCGGGAATGTAACCCTCATTTTCAAATGAGACTCAGCTTGCTCCTGGGTATTCACTTTGTATCAGTGCCCAAAGCGGCCTGGGATTTATTCAGTGACTTTTGAAGAACTGGTATAATAATGTCACATATGAGCAGTTTGTCAACCGTGTGCCACACTAGAAATGAAACAAATCCCTTACAGGCTCACAAAGCTAATACTTGCTACACATTGTTATCATTCCATAATAGCAAAGCAGTCTGAGTGAGACAGGTTGTTCCCTGTCATTACCAAATGTAATGTTTTGACATGGTGGCCAAAACCACCTGAGCTAAATTTGTTTAGCCATATGCATGGCAATGAGACATGAAAAAATCTTTGCATAGAAGTACCTGAAAATTGAACTGCAGGTTCCCACAAATCCCCCACAATTACCTCTTCAAAACATTTGCTTGAAGAATACTTCTTTCTTAAGCTGGCAGCCAAACAGGAAAGGGATACAGACATAAAGGGACACAGACAAAATCACGTTTCAAATGTAAATACCATTATTCTTCCAATTAGAAACTAGTAACCAGGCAAGATAACTGAAGAGTAAAATGCCCCTTGAAACTGGAAGAAATTATATAAGTAGTTCTAGAAAAGATGTGACAGTGACAATAGTCTTGTTCCAGACATCAGCCCTAAAGACAGCATTACAGTCACACACATACTCACTGGAACACTGTAGGCACATACACGTGCTGTGGTACAGGACAAGATGGTGGCATTGGAAACCCAATCAGGGACAGGCTTTCCCACCAGAGCAAAGAGGAAAGATCCATACTCCTGGCTCTTGTGAGCTTTGAGCAACTAACATGCTCCATGTTGGAAGACACAGTGAAAGCTAAACATTCAGACATCAGATAATTTGGATAGATAATGGTGCAAATTTTTACATGATCCTGTACCATTGGCGATACCTTTGTAATACTGGTTTGATGCTGCCCAGCAGGTGGGGCAGATGACCAGCAGAAGAATCTGACAAATTGCATTGCATCTAATTTTCCTGGGGTGAACACTTTTCCAGAAACTACTCTGCTCCAGAGAAGCCTTCTAGGCCACAAGTTCACTGCTTGCAGGGAGATGGATCCCTACACCAACTCTGCTGTAGGACATTTGCTTTCCCCCTGTGGATAATATATTCTGAGGAAGAGATCCTGGCTCCATAGAAACAAGGGAACAGCTTTGCAATCATCACAGTTGTGGATAGGATTTTGTCCTGAAGGTATGTCTGGGGGACTGAACATGATGACACCAAACATCCCAAAGTATGTGCCTGCTGGAGGGTGTGAGCAACACAGCAGCATACCATAAAGTGAAATAGAGCACTGCCATGGTGCAGCCACATCACAAGACCTTTCATGAAGGCAGACAAAAGATGCCAAAATACATATCAAGGTGGTGAAAGGGCATGGTTAAACTGTTGTCTAGTAGTGGTTGTAGTGTGTTTTTAATAAACTTCAGTCTGTAATTAAAATTAATTTTAAAGGAAATTGCAGCATCTTCAGTATCAACAGTATCTGTACCAAATGCATTCCACAGCTGTTTTCTGAATGTTACCTTATATATCACATTAAGATGAACAGTACTCAAACAACTAAGTATTTCTGTTACAACATTTTATAAAAAGGAGTATTTTGTGCCAAGCAATCTTAATGTGGTACATCACTCATGTGCATTAGTTTCAGAGTGCAGCTCTGTACTCCACTGTATTAGAGGACAAATTACAAGCCGCACATGCAAAGACTAACGATTTTGAATTTTTATACAATGCACACAGTGTCATCTTCCACTATTGTACAGCATTATGTACTTCAGAAAGGAATCAAACATAACCTTCAAATACACTGTGGCAAACTGTACTGGAGATACTGTTCTCCAGCTCTGAGGTGAACGAATCTTGCTGTGAAATGGCAAAGCTGATCATCTTCTTGGTAAGGTATTTATCAGACTCCAAATCAAAGACTTGGACAAAGGTTCTTGAAAAGTTACACTGTAAGCCTGGCACTGACTTATACCCTTTAAATTCACCTTCTTTGGTGACAAGAATAAATTAAAGATTCTGGGTTTGTTTTTTAAAGGAAGGAAACCATAATGCATTCTTATATATCAGTTCTGATTATCTGCTGCCCCATTTCCCCATCTTATCTGATGTTTCAGTACAGGATTAACCATCAGTGAAAAACCTACCTACACAGCTGTGACTAGTCACAGTATCGGGATTAAAATCCACCACTACCTCACAGTTTGTGTCACCCTTCTGTCATCTGTCTAGATGCATGCTGTGAGTAAACATGACCTGATCTAGCCCACACTTGGATCAGACAAGGCTCTCACAGGGAGAAAGGATTGTTGTAACAGGATGGGCAAACATTCACTAAGTCCAACTAGTGGGTCCAATCAGTACATCCAGTTGCATGTCCTTGATACCTATTAATGTGAAGCATTGTTCCTCATACAGCAAATGCCATGCGCTGCTGCAAGAGACTTATGCCAGGTCCTCACTCCACAAATTCCCCGAGTAGCAGAACCTGGAGAGGTGCAGGTATTTAAGCTAAATCAGAATAGAATGGGAGTTACATATGAGCCATTACTGTTCCAGCACCAGAAAGAGAGCTTCTTGCTGTTCACCTTCTTTTTATTGTATGTTTGACACAGCTGAATTTTCCAAATGCCCTTGTGGTTAACCTCCTTTACAAAGGATAAATACCATTCCATTCTTATACAAAAGAAATACAGCTGTCTGTTATATACACACACCTTGACAGAGAGGTTCTTGAAAGAACTGTACAACATGAAATGACAGTGCCAAAAGCCACAGAGCACCTCTTCAGCTGTGCCAGGAATTCTCTGCTGAGGAAGGCAATCTTTTAAGGTAAAATGCTTTAACTGAACTCGTAACATTTGAATGGGATAATCAGAACCATGTGACATGCTGTCATACCACGAATTAGTCATATTCTGGTTTAAAAACTGTAGTTTCTGCATTTCACTGAAGCCATCCAATGTACAATGGAATTGCTTGAATACATCTCATTGGCATAAGGAAGGAGCCTTGCTGTATGACAGAGTTTTCAGACATGGAATATACTTGAGAGTAAAATGAAGACACAAGTGAGATCACAAAAGGTTTTGGCAAGTATTTTTATGTTAACATTTTTGGTTTATGGCTTGTTATGGCTTTTTTGGTTTCTTTACGAAATTCATGCACAGTGAAAGGAATGAAGAATTCCAGAAGAGAGTTGACCTCCTTCAGTTCCAGACTGTATTCTGCTGCTATTTTCTCTGCAGTCCATATTTGAGGTTGAAGTTTATGATTATTAAGAAGTGTCAGAGCCTCCACAAGGGAAATTTTGCCTTTGGAAACTTTCTTAACATCTAGAGCTTCCAAGTGGCCTAATTTTGTAAGTCTCTTTTCCTTCTGTTTACTTGGAAGATGTTCACCATCTCTGTTTTTTACCTAATTGAGAAGGAAAACAAAAAGAGCTCAACAGCAGTTCTGTTTACTATGCATACAGCTAAGCTGTAAATATATTTTCCTAAATATGGCATCTCCTGTTAGCTTTCCCCATTTTTTAAAAAAAGCCTAGCCAGCCTTAGCTTCTTCCACAGCCATTCTACATAGAGTGCCAGCTCCCAACCAAATGCTGAAAAGCTCCTATTCACTGCAGTCTAAGTGTTGTATTGGCTTGGCAGCCCTTCATACGAGAAAAACTACAGATTCTGGTAGGCAAATGTAAATCCAGATAACCTAGTATTTGATATTGATTCATTGGAAGGGACCAAGAAATCCTACAACAAATCAATATCCTTCTGATACCACTGGAAAAATTTTTCATGTAGTCTCTCTCCCCTTCCTTTTGGTTTCAAATTTTAGTTTCACTCCTTAAAGAAATTCCTCCTTTTGCTCTGTCTAGAGAACAAGCTTTCCTGCTATTTTGCAGCATCATATGGAGTTTAATTGCCATGACTACTGCAAGATGTAGACACACAGTGTCTCTTCTCTAAGGTCCTTCATATTTCCAATCTCCAAAATAGCTTTCATTTCCTCATATTTCCTTTTATTAATATTTAATCAGTGAATGACACTGAAAAAAAAAAAAAGGCGCCATTCAACCTTTCTTAAATTTATAAGTATTTATATAGTAATCAGTGCCCACAACCACTGATTATTACACAGACACTCTGTATTAACTCACATGCTGAGAAAACTGATGTGGATGCTACAGCACCTGCATCTGTTTCTGAACAAAAAGGAATGTCTGGCCTGTATAACGTATCTTCTGCTTTTTGCTAAAACTGTGCTTGGATAATGAATGATTTTTCAACCCTTAATTAGATCATTTGTCTCTGGGAATCTGCCACTTCAGGACTCCCAGGCTGCTGCTTTTCCACTTACCATAGGCAGACATCCCAAACATACACAGAGGTGTGTATACATCACGTATATAATGCACAAAGTCATCATGATAACATCAGGAGTGGGAGAAAGCTTTTGTATTGCTTTGCCCACAAGCCTCTGTGATTACACTTCAGTTGTGCTCTAACAACTCCAAGCAGACACAGCACAAGGGCAAGTCTGTGGCAGCAAACTCCGAGTAGGCATGGAATCAAGCAAAGATTTGTTCCGCTTTGGACTTTCTCTCAAATCTCTCTTGACAGGTTTATACACGAATATTGAAAGATACTGAAATTAGACCTTCAGCACTTCAAGATTAGAGTCCTAACTTCTGGGATGGAAATTAAGGATAGAGAGTTCTTGAAAATTTCAGGCAGAGACTGAAGAAATCTATTTGTATTTTAAATATTTTTAGACTTTAATACCATATAAGTGGTAAATTAGAGAGACGTAGGGATTTTGCTAGATGACCATAAGAACTTTATTGCTGCATAAAGCAGCTGGAATAAATAATGCAACAGGTAAAACACACAAGCCATAGCACAATATAATGGAAAAGAGAACACTGAACCCAAATCTGTATTTTACAAAGGAGTATGCTTTGTCTTTCAAGTAAAATATTGCAACCAGTGGCAATAAGGAAATGAGGACCACACAACCCACAAGATTATGTAGAAAAAAACCTAAGTCGCTTCATGAGCTGGATAAAAAAAAAGTCTCTGCACTTTATAACAATTAATGGAGTTACAGACTCCATTGAAGAGAAAACCTAATCTTCGTCCTCTACCACATTCCTGCTGCCCCAGGAGTCCTAGTCTCTTCTAAGAACTTCACAAATGATCTCTGGCAAACTACTTTATTTTTGCAAAAGGCTTGAGAACTATCCTGCCTCATAGGAAGCAGAAATGGGAATTTAGGTGGAAAACAATGTAAGATTAATGCAATGTTACAAGGAAGACTGCCAGTGTTTACAAGCTTGTATAGTCACAATCTGTCACACATTCAAAACCAGGGGTCAGACACAGTCAGTGTTACTGACGACAGAAGAGTAATAAAACCACCACTTTTATATAGTGAAAACAGGTAGCTTAAATGCACAAAGAGCATTTTTCTGGACACACGCTTTCTGCTGAGTTCGAAGACCACAAAGCTGATGCTGGTATGGCTTGCACAGAGACACACTCACCCGCACTGGTGGATCTGTGGACTCGACATAAACATCTTTAAGCAAGCTAAGAAACCTATCGTCCTTTCTGAGAACTTCTTCTTTTATCTCTGGGCTATCTAAACGCAGTGAGAAGAAGAAGGGAAGGGAGAAAAAAAAAAGGCGAAAATATTGATCTGAGTCAAATCGTTTCCTTTTTGTTAGTTCTGCCAGCTCATCCCTTCCCCGGAGGCACGGCACGGCTCCCGCAAACGCACGTGCCTTCTTGGGACGGTGTCATGTTTCCCACGGCCCTGACCTCAGCGACCCCGCTTGACACGGTGGGGCTGGGCCGGTCACCCGTCACCGCACAGCGGGAAGCACACGCTCGGTCCTGCCCGGTACTGCCCCGCCTCAGTAACCTGCCACCATCCCAGCTACCACCGCCTCCACAACTGTCCCGGGAACCATCCGCCCCATCAACTGCCCCCACGTCCTGCCCCCATCAGCCACCTCCACCGACCGCCCCCATCACCCAGCCCCACCAGGCCACCTCCATCAGCCTCCCTCTTGCTGCTGCCCGCTGTAATCGCCCCGGTGCCCGTCAGCCGTCCCGCAGCCGCCGCCGCGGCTCCCGGCATGCCCCGCGCGCCCAGCGCCGCTCTCAATGTCACCGGCCCAGCACCGGGAGCCGCCGCGGCCTCGCCGCCGCCCCTCGCCCCGCACCCGGCACCCGCCCTGCTTCTCCTCCGCCGCGCCGGGCGCCCCGCGCCGCCCGTCCCTCTGTGGCGCCCCGGCCACAGAGGCCGCCCCCGCCGCCGGGGTCGCCCCGCGGGCGGGCGAGGCCGGCACTCACCGGCCATGGCGTCGAGCCGGGCGGTGCGGTGCCGCGGTGCGGGTGTGGGCTTCTCCTTGCTGATCTCGCGGCTGGCCCTGTTCTCCACGTTAAAATTCCGGAACACGCGGGTCACCCGCCCGCCCATCGCCGCCGGCAGCCGCGCCTGCGCACGGGGCACGCCGGGCAGGGACGGGTGCACCGGAAGAAAACAAAACGAGTACGGCAGGCAAGCAAGCAAGCAAACAAACAAACAAGCGAACGAGAATACAGACAAGGCGGTTCGCTTTTCACTTCACGGCGCCCCGGCGGTGCTTGCTCCTTGCCCTCGGCGCTGCCTCGGCCGCCGGCCCGGGGCGGCGTTGGTCCTGCTGTGGCTTTTCTGAACGCGTGCGTGAGGGGAGCCCCCGGGTCGGGCAGGTCCCGTCAGGAAAGCTCTCAAAGCCGCGGGCTGCCCCAGAGTTTCCTTTTCAGCCGTGGCGGCTGGCGGCTGAGCCCCCGGACACGTCATGTCTTGACTATCGCTACTTGTTCATCGGCGGGGATCGGCGCGGGTCGGAGCTGCAGCGAGGGACAGCTCCCCAGTACTGTTGAGAATTTGTAGGTTACACAAGGCTTTCAGGGTGCAGACCCTCTTTTTCCAGCCCAAGCAAATAACCATTCTTCTGACTTTGCAAAAATCTCGAAAGCTACTTGTGAGAAAATGTTGAGAAGGCCTTGAGCCATGCATGACAAGAAAGGTAAATTTGTTGCGATGGAATCAACAGTTCATAGCTTCAAGAAGCAAAGTGTGAAAAGATACAGAATCCTTAGAGAAAGGAAGGCAGAAAGAGCGAGAATAAGAGCTACTGGCCTGATGCAAAAAGCAATAAAGCCTGATGATTGACTACTTTATTCAGCCACAACAGAGATTAATGATTTGTGCATTCCAGCTGCTGTGTGAATTTGCCAATAAGTAATTCCCTTATGGTTTTAAATTGTGTATGTGCTGTTTGCAGACTCTTAGTGCCTTCTGGGCCACTTGTTAGTTCATGGTAGTAGCTGCCCAAATGAAGTGACCTGAACTGGGAGTGTTAATGAAGGACAGAGAAAAGACCAGACTTGGTCCTCTACAAGTGGCATTATTTAGTAATAATAATTATGATGTGATAGTTGTCAAGGCTACAGAGTGCTTTAATGCTGGATTAATGAATGGTTGTGTTTTCCATAGAAAGGAAGCCAAATAGATTTCCTTTAGAAAGGCAATGGAGACAAGGCAGCATAAGGATGATGTATGCTGGATTTCTGCTCTCTTTGGGAATCAAGAAGGTGCAGTTTCTCCACTTGTTTATTTTAAAGACTCTCACGGTCTGTAGGAGGATAGAAACATGTTTTTTTCCTCTGGTAATAAGTTTACTGGCCCTGTCCTATTTTAGACATTGCACGCGAATGAATTAAGGAGACAAGTGATACAGTGATAATAGGAAACTGTTAAAGTCTGCCGAAGTTAGACTGGTGACAAGTTTAATTAAATATCTATAGTCAATTACTTGCTGTCTAAACCTGTGTTCTTGATTTGAGTCCAGGATTTGATACTTCTACAAGTGGTGAGTCTTGGGTGTGGCTATAATGGAAAAATCCACATGGATGCCTTTGGTGTTTGTAGACCTTTCATATGTACTTCAGCATTTCTCTGAGACATACATACTCTTGCAGATCTGTTTGTGGATCAGGTATTGTGTCAAATTTGGAAACAGAGTTTCTCCTTCAAAAGCTAAGAACTCCCAGCTTGTGGAATCAAACTCAGCACAGGGCTTCTGTCTTCATAAAGCCTGGATGTGGTTAACACTGCTGTAATATGTACTGACAGCAAAATAAATTCACCAGAAGGCAGTCAGTTAAAAATAAAGAGTGATGTCATGCTCTGCCTGTCACTTCCTACCACTGAGGATGGCACAAGGCTGTGCTTTTCATGTATAAAGATGCATCAAAATTTTAAGATTTTTATTCTGAAAAATGTTTTTTGGACTGTAGCAAGCAGAAGTACTGAGACTGAAAACATTTTTTTAATGTAATTTGGTATTTTACCAATGTGACCATGTTGATATTAAATATCAGTAATCAAGAGGTTGGAATTTTTTTCCATATAAAGCATCTGCAAGTGGGATGATTAAAAAATGAATATATGTGTACTCAGCTTAGATAGAGTTTAAAATGGGTTGCATTTTTCTTGAATAAGGAGTCTGAATTTTTCCAGGGAATTCAAAAATAATATAACAAAACAGCCCATGAAAAGACTACAGATTATACAGGTGGATTCATGTACACCAGTAGCCTGTTCTCAACACTGGACAGCACCAAACACGTCAGAGGAAAAATACTGTAACTCACATGATATCTGTGTGCCGTAGACTGCCACATTAGGTCTCCTTGTAATCCTTCCATACCTCTTAAAAGAGAAATTTCTAAAGCTACTGTGTACCTGGAAAGTAAAAAGTGCATTTGTGATGTTCTCTGAATCTTTTTTGTTTTCCCTCTCAGTTTGGATTATATGTTTTATTTTTTTCTCAGCTAATTCTGTTGCTGAGTGGAAAATTAGAAATTAATTTTTGTATTTAACTAGCATCAAAAGTCTGATTGACCTATTGAAAATTCCCTTTAGAGAAGGGAGAATAGGAATGTCTGTTGTTAACTTGTGTTATTGTGTGGTGCTACTAAAGTTTATTGCTGTCTTTAATAGTCAGAAGATCAGAAATCAGAATACGAGTTCAGATGGTCAGGTAGTCTCAGTGAAATAAGAGTCTTTTTGGTAATAGACGCCTAGCTGGAGAATTTTGGAGAGGAGGCAGGTGAGATTTGCTTTGTGATTTATGGTCTGGGAATGGCACAGCAAACGACCTGTCTGGACAACCACAGAGGAAAATGAGGAATGCCCTTATACAGCAGCAGCACAGGTTGTATTTGATTCTGTCCACGTTCTCTAGCACTGAAACAGTTTTCCTATTCTTGTCTTTGTGTTGTTGTTTGTTTGTAATTGATGTCAGTCTAAATGGATACTTGAGCAAATTCATGTATCATTGGATTCAGGGAATTGAGTTTATCCTGATTACTGGTTTACCAGTAAACACAATGAAAGCATTGATCCTTTTGTTCCTTATCTCATCAGTGTTAGGCAGAACCAGAGAACATAGCATTAGCAAGAATTGATTATGAGCCAAGTAAAAATGACTGTCCTGAAACTTTGTAAAGATGAACTCAAGAGAGATGGACTTACCGATGGATCACTTTTCCCTTTCAGTGATTTTTGGTTTTTCTGTTACTTAATTAAGATTATTTCTCTCTTATTGGTTTCAACTCATCCATCTTTTACTGGCTTCTCAAGTATCTATGGAAGGATCTACATTGAAGGATTTTGCTTAATTCTAGTCTGCGATCGGAGTGTTCCTGAACACTTGCATATTTTCAAGGCTAGGTGGCTGCAGTGCTTTATTTAAAGGAGTTTCTGTCAAGTCTTATGTGGATGAAGTTTATGGCAAGCACAGCAAGCTCAGTGTTACAGACTCACACACCATCCCAGACAGATCACTAGCTCCTTGTTAGATAATACTAATTTCAAAGAAATTGCATTTAAATTCTCCTGATTGACTCTGGCTCAGTATACCTGACATCATCTTCCATATTTTTCCTGTCTGATTGTTGTATCTCAATTAGCAGGTTACTTTGACTTGGAAATGCACAGTGGGAGCCAGAATATTTGAGACTGAGGCAGCCTGGTACTGGAATTAATTTCATCAGTTACACATGCCTTTTTACTTCATTTTTACTTCATTTTTACTTCATGTCCCCCCACAGGTTTCAGTACCCCATATTCTCTCCTCAGTGACAATGCTAGTTGAGACAACTGACAGCCTTATTATTTCTTGTAACCCTGGCTTCAGTTCATCCCTCTTGCCAGTGTGAGGGTGTAGGAACACCTCCAGAGCAAATAACATCACACAGATGGTCTGATTTAAGAAAGAGAAGAGCTTCTGTAACTTTTCTAAGCTGTATCAATTACTGATGGTTTGACTGGTCCGTAGAAAGGCACTGGAAGCACAGGAGGAAAAACAAAAGGCCTGTGACAGGAGGAGTGTGAATACCTTGAACTGGTATTGCTGCCTGGTCGGTTGGTTTGTTTGTGAGGGTTTGCACTTTGCTCCCAGATTGTTTCCCTCCAACAGTGACAGAAACAACTGTACCAGCTCCAATGAGGAGGAGGTGAACCAGCAGTGAGAAGGGACTGGATGGAATGGAGTGGTGGCTGGCTTTGCTGGTGCTCCAACATCACCCAAGACGAACAACATCCTTTGTACTGACTTGAAGCAGTAACAGTAGCCATGATTTTACTGCACTGCCACTGCAGTAGCTGTCTGACAGTCCAGAAGAGAATTGGTGAATGGATTCAGAATATTAGCTACCTGCTGGTAGTTTCTTTTATTAAATATAATTTTTTATAAAAAGTAACAAATATATGATGTAAGTGTGCTGGCAAGATGCTCTTCTACAATAATGTAATATTTTTCCATCCCTAAAGGATATTTCTATCCTCTCTATATGGTTTTAATTTATGATGATGCATTAATATTTATACAGGTGTGATGCATTTTGTATACATAACTTTATAATTTAGTTGTATTATCTGTGACTTGATGTATCAAGGGATTGATTTTCCATGCTTTTATAAGTAGATGCAGAAACAATTTTATTTATTCTTTTTACACTTTAATTACATCCGTCTGCAATTTACAAGTTGTATATTTGCAGGTGTGAATTACATGAAAAACTGAAGTCTTTTATTTACCTATGGGGAGCCAAATTTTGTGCAGAATAAGAAGGCTAAAATGACCTCAGTGAACACTTCTAAAACCATTTGATATATATATCCCAGTCCTAAAGAAGGCTTATATATAGATCTTAAGAAGCTGGAGAAGTTACAGTGTGGTTTAATAGCTCAGTGGCTTAATCAGTGTTATGCTGGCTAAGTAGCATTTGTCCACGTCCTATACCTGTATTTTTTTAGATGCAGTAGCTAAAAATCTGCCTGACACATGCAAAGGATTCTTTGCAGATATTCAAGTGTATATATATCCTTGAATAGATGTATTGAGATGGAGGAATATATATGTATATGGAGAGATATATATTTCAATACTGAGATTACACAGCT